TTAAGAGGAAGCTGCCGCCGTTTCATCAATATTAAACCCTAGACAGGTCCTTAGTTATTAAGTAAAACAATTTCGTAATAATTATGTGGCTCCATTCATCACAACCACAAAACAAATCCAGAAAGCTCTCTCCATAAGATTAAAATACTTGAAACATTCGCCTGGAATTAGGATGAACTTTTTTATTTACATAATTTCGCAACATGATTCCAACACAAACGGGAATTCTAATAAAGAGTGTTTAATCAATTCTCCAAATCAGATTCTAGTGGCTCATTATTAATGGCATTTAAATATGTGCCGTATGCTAATTGATCCCTGATCTGGCGCACAGCCTCCTCGGCAGTAGCAATATTAAATGTATCCATTAAGAGACGCACAATCCACAATGGCAGCAAAGCATTAATCTGTAACGATGCGTATGCCTGTAAATCGGGAAATTAACATCAGATGAGTTCAGATATTAATTATTTTCACTTACTGTTCTGGTGCCATAAACTTGGCCCAGTTTCCTGATCATACATAGTTCCACGTCCCTTCGTACTATATCTATGACATGCACATGCTGAATGTCCATGAATCGATCTATATGCTTGTGTCGATTCGCCTTAAAAAATGTAGTCAAGTCGCTTTCGTACTTGGAGAATGTATTCAGTATTTCTTCCTTTTCCATTTTATCCATTAGCCTGGACAATAAAACAAACTTAAGCTGTAGGTAAATGCATTTAATTGAAATGTAAGCCACAGAACTTACAGAATTTTCACCTTGCGTGGAGCTGGACGAGGTTCTATCGGTCCAGCCAGCTGAAAGCTTTTGGGCTTTGATGGCGGTGGCTCATTGAGCTCCTCCTTTTTTATGGCTTTGGATGGCGACGAAGCAATCCCATTGGCATTGGCTTTTTTCCCCATTGGCCCATCTGTGTGGTCTTTTTTGTCCGTCTTTTTCTTCCCTCTAAAAAGGGGACAATTAATATAGGCAGACTACGGCAAGTTTACATTACATACCCTATGATAAAGTCGTCTAAGTGACTTGGACGCGTTAGTGGACGGCGCGGGCGTCTGGTCGGACTCGGCCCATCAGCACTGGGAATGGATTTTCTGCGAGTTTATAAATGCGTTAATGCTGGGCATAAATTGAGTCCATAGTTGACGCTTACTCTGTGTCGGGTGTGGGCACACGCTTGGTGGCCTTTTTTTCAAGTGAAGAGCGACCGCTGTTGGGCGTTTTACCTTTTGCATAATCTTGTGATAAGGACCTGCGTGCATTACACACTTTTACAGGCTCCTTTCTAGCAGCGGGAGCCTCTGCCGACTCACTGTTTTTGGGAAATTTAATGGAATTTGTAATTCATTTCTTGTGAAAATCTTGGTGGGCTTACATTGATTGTGAACGATGCTCCTGTTTGGTTGGTTTTTGTTTCTCAGAATCTACGGAAACTTTTTTATTCTTGCGCTTCTCCGGAGCGGGTGCCACTTGCTGGTCACTGTACGAAATGTAATTGAGTTAAATTTTGAATTTAGTTACTTGAATAAATTTTGTGGCTTACTTGGAATGTGTACGTTTGGTTGGTTTATCTTTGCGCGTTTTCTGAGCGTGCACCTCATGGTCGCTGCAAGAAATGTAAGTGAGTGCCATGTGGATGTCAGTGTTTTATGTGATTTGCGAACCTCGAATTTGAGTCTGTGCTCACATTATTAGAAACTGTTTCGATATATTCCAGCTGCATAATCAGACACAAATCGCTTTTCGAGAATGAAACGCCGGGTAGGCGAATCTCTGTAGACAATCGCCGAGAATCGATCGAGTCCACTCGTACTTTAATGTGATCAATGAGGAGATCTGCATGCAAATTCTGAATATCTTGCTCTTGCTCCAGCAGGCCATATAAGCCCGTCTCAATATTGGACCAGCGGGAAGGCGTCATCCAATGATAGTCAGTTTGTTTCTGGACAATGCGGGAGACCGTGCACGGCTGCACCTTGGTGTTGCAGATGATGCGATGCTTTTTATACTGCAAATGAATAGCAAATTAGATAAATGCCGCAGTGTCGTGTTGGCCTACCAACCCAATAGATTTGCATCACAAGTTGGTAATCACCGCCGAGAGTAAACGGCATTTTGTACAACAAACTGAGGCTTTGGCAAACAAATACGCGTATCTTTTCTGCGTTCGCGGCAAAATAATAAATTCGTGAGGCAGAGATGCATTTGCTCTTCGTTTGGTCGATAACGATATATTGGCGTTGCCAGATGCAAGATAAAATATCAAATTGCTTGCGCGTCAATTTGAAATCTAACGAATGTAGTCGAACTAACCAATGGACCGAACACGAGGGGATCTTTTTCGTAAGTTTCTTGACTATCAGTGGCGTTTCACATAGGTCAAGTTTGTTTACTAATCTGTGTGTGCCAATAAACCACGATTATCGGAAGCTGGCTGGTGTGCTGCTCCGAGAGAGGAATCCAATTCATCTGCTGGCAGTTCTTATCCGCGTTCTGAATTAAACAGTCGTACAGACGTCCGAGCCATAGGTTGCGCGTGCTTGGTTATTTTATTAATTCAAATCGATCAATGACGATTAGCAAAACTATATACATCCCCACATATATATTTATTGTGTACTGCGTATGCGTTGTTCTGATTAATTTATGAATAAGCGCAAAATGTTTTCGTACTCCAGCTCAAGCTCCAGCTCGAGTCGTACTATCTGTGCTGTAGTCTTTATTTACATATCAGTAATATCAGAGTTCATAGTGCCGCCATGTGAGGCTAGGACGACAGTCACTGCAGATGAGCAGGGAAAACCCGAATCCAGTGAGAATTCAGTCAAAGATTCGTCAGCGGAATATCTGCGAACGTATTCCGAGCGGATGAAGTCGTACATGAATGAGAGCGTGGCGCCGTGCGATGACTTCTATGAGTACGCCTGCGGCAATTGGCAGCACGTGAAGCAGGACAGGCAGTCGTCGCACAAGCGGAGCAATCTCCTCGATATCGGGTACACACTCGGCGATGTGGTCGAGCAGCTGCTGACGAGGAACTCGCTGGCTGTGGATCTCAATTACACCGATGAGCTGCTGATTGCACAACGATTCTATAATGCCTGCCTCGGTGCGGATCTGTACCCGCTGCCAGCCGCCGACCCCGCTTATCTGGCGCTTATCAGGTCGCTGGGTGGTTTCCCAGCTGTCGATGGTGAGGCGTGGCAGTCGGCCAACTTCAGCTGGTTCAACATGAGCGCCCACTTGACCAACTTTGGCGTCAACGGACTCATCCACGAGAAGATCCTGCCCCAGTATCCCTTTGTGCCGTACTTTAAGGTGCCGGAGTTGGGCTTTGACTACATCGTGCACAAGGACAACATCGCCAGCAACGACACCCGAGGCTACAAGCTGAATGAGAAACGAATGCGTGGCTACCTCGAGGCTTACGGTCTGCCGGACGAGAAGGTTTCAGAGGTGATTGCGGGGGTGTTTGCTTTCTGGCACGATGCCCTCGTCATCATCGATCGCTTCCAGGAGGAGAAAGAATGCGAGGAGTATGCGGAAGCGGAAGATGTTCCCTCATTTACGGAATGGGGCAGCTACTATGAGATTGCCTGGAACAGCATCAACTTCCCCACGGAGAATCTCGAAGATTTCTGCGACTACTACTACGTGGAGCTGGACAAGGTGTGCGCCAAGCATAAGCCAGCTGTGGCCAACTACTTGGCCATGCTGCTGCTCTATCGCATGGATGCCAAGCTGAAGGCGGCCAAGTACCAGAAGGAGCACTGTCTGCAGGCCGTGCAGTATTCACTGCCATATCTATTTGATAGGCTTTACCGTGTGGTAGGTAGATCGATTAGGAGTTGAGCGATTAATGTCCATTCTCACTTTTCCAGGAATACTTCTCCGAGGACACTAGATCAGAGATTTCCGGCATTATAAAGGAGCTGCGCAAGAGCTTCCGTTTGATGCTGGAGAACTCCGAGTGGCTGGACACGGAGACCCGAAGGGAAGCGCTGCTTAAGGAGTCTAGCATCGAGCCGCGCATTGGCAGTTTCAAGGATGATGAGCACACCGAACGCCTTGTACGAGCGATCCAAAATCTGACCATTGTCGTGGATAGCTTTGCGCAGACGAACATTAACCTGAAGCGCCTAACCACAAACATTAGACGCTTCAATGGACACCACTTCAGTGAGCTATCGAATGGCACGAAGCCCCTGGAGCTGCTGTGGAGCATGCAGGTCAATGCCTTCTACTACAACATTGACAATTCCATATATGTGATGGCGGGCATACTGCATCCACCGGCCTTTCATCAGCTCTGGCCAAACTCCCTGAAGTATGGCACAATTGGCTATCTGGTGGGGCATGAGCTGACGCATGGCTTCGACACGGTCGGCTCCATGTTCGACGGCAGCGGCTCGCAGCGCAACTGGTGGTCCAAAAAGTCCAATGCGGTATTCAACGAGCGAGCCGAGTGCTATGCGGAGCATTACAGCAGATACCTGATACCAGAGATTAATCGCAAGATCAATGGAAACCAGACCAAGGATGAGAATATTGCTGATAGCGGCGGTCTGCATCAGGCGCTTAGTGCCTATCGCAGCTACATGAAGCAGCAGCAGCAGGACAACGAGACGTATCCGAATAAGAATGAGCAGATGCCCGGCCTCGACCTGTCCCCGGAGCAATTGTTCTTTCTCGGCTTTGCGCAGCTCTGGTGCAATGCCTACGAGGAGGAGCACTACTGGGAGGAACTGTCCAACGAGCACACAATCGACAAGTTTCGGGTCCTGGGTGCCGTCACAAATAACGAGGAATTTTCCAAGATCTACAACTGTCCCTCCGGTAGTCCAATGAATCCTCAAGCAGACAGGTGTCGTGTGTGGTAGTCCATTTACTGGACCACTGATAAGCGGAGGGTTCATCTTTCTTTACTTATTAACGCATAATTAGTTCAATAAACGCTTGTCGCAAAACAGCCATTTCCCAGAAGTCTTCTTGCATGTATTTGTGGGGATTGATACCATTGAAGTTTATTTAATGGGCGACTTGTTCTGAGGATTTGAATGCATCCGCGCCTCGATAGTTGTCGATAAGCAGCGACTTGTAGCGCCGCAAGTGCACACTGAGACCCTCCTCGCGTTCGCTGGCAGAGAGTATGGCAACTCGTGATATCACCAAATGGGAAGGATTGGCCTGGCTGAAGCCGCGTATCACATCGATCTCATCGCCAATATCCAGCTGCAAGGAAGTAATAATTAGCGAAAACATTCTCTAGCCACAGGGGTAACCCTTACCTGCACGCTCTTCTTCTGCAGCTTCTTCCCATTGACGCGGATCTTGCTCTCATAGAAATTCAGTTCAACTTTGCTATGGGAAAGGGCAAGGACATGTTAATAATAGTTTTTCATTGCTTTTCGGTTGTACACTCACTTTCTGGCCATTCCCAGACCCGCCTTGAGCAGTAGGTCGGCGCGCAGCGAGTTCACCTTGGTCTTGACCACCTTGGAGTCGCGCTCGTCCTTAAACTCCTCGTCCGCTTCATCGTCAGTGTCCAAATCGTCTGTTGTTCTGGACGATTTTCTATCATATTTTCGTGCAACGCTGGTGGTATGAAGTGGTGCCTGAAGCCTGTTCGAAATCACATTCGGTGTGGTTGTCTTGTTGACCAAACTACTGGCCGGTGCACTGGCGTATTTTCCGAATCTAGTTATTTGCCGTAAGCTGCGGAGCATTTTTGGAGCGGAGCGATCTTAAAAATTACGATAACAAAATCTACAAACATAACCTAAAAACTACAGCTGATTGGAGGTGGCGTTGCCAGACATAATTTATTTGGTTGTGCTTGGCGGCTGTTGTTTTTGTTTTTTGTTTCGCTTCTTTTTGGGTTTCTTGTCTGGATTGGGCCGAACCCGGTGCACACTGACTGGACGGTAGTGTTGTTTGTCGCTGGGCAGGAAATCATCCTCATCGGTGGCTTCCGCTGCCTCTACTTCCATTTGCTCCTCACTATCCACAGATTCGGTTATTGTTGGTCTGGATTCCACTTTCACTTCCTCCGTGGCTTTGCTTTTGGCTTTCATGGCCAAATTACTGAGTGCAGCGCCCAGTTGTTGAGTCTCCACATGGGCATCAACTCGATCTACCTTTACACATGACTTGTCACTGGAAAACGTGATGTAGTCATCGCTCCATGCGTTTACTGGAACCGCATGCTGCTCCGCTGCTTTCTGTGCTGTTTCTTCCGGCTGAACATCTTGAATTTTCACCTGACGATTCTTCGAAGACTTTTTAACTATGACAGGAATATTTTGTGGAGCTGGCTTCTGACGGTCCTTCACCCAGTGTTCCAGCTCCAGGCTCACAGCAGCCAAGTCCAGCGGCAAGACCAAGCAAAGTGCTCGCACACCGAAAACATCAAAGGTTAGCTCCTCCAGCTTGGGTTGCGCATAAATGGGAGCAGTTGGCAACTGAGTGGCGGCACTGGTGGCTATTAGACGGATGATATGGGATGGCCTCAGACTCAGCGAGACAAACACGCACGAGAAGCGCCTCGAGTTGATGGCACGCAGGGAGCTCTCGAGACCGAGATGTATGTTATTATGGGTGGCAAATGTCTTTGCAGGATGAGGACTGCGTTTTATGGACTCTATCAATATCTGGCGAAGCTGTAGCAGTTCATCTTCCCTAAGAACTGGGCTGTAAATTGAAATATTTAGCACCGGGGATTACAGACAGATTGAATGAGCCTTACCTGTGCTGCTTGTATGGATTGGCCAATATATTTCGCAACTTGGGCAGAACCTTCTTTTTGCCCTTTGCTTCCTTCTGCTTTATGCTGGCCAAACTCATAGTTATAAGAAGTTAATACTAGCAAATAAATTATCAAAATAAAATGTGTTTAAGACAGCGTTGCCACCCAGGCGTCGCTGCTGGTGTCGATGTGGCCAGAGGCTCCTAAAATAAAACGCGCTGTCTATGTTCAAATTGTTTAATTTATATACATTTATTTTCCTTTTCACAGCCAATATGGTTCAGGTCTTGTGTCTGAAGAGTATCGGAAATTTCTTGGCTTTGACTGCACAAAATCGTCAACAAGGTTCGCACTCCTGGGTGCAGTGGTTGTAACAGCTTCGGTTGTGGTTTCCTCCGATCCGATTGTGCTCGTCTCAATGTTGGAAACTTCTGTAGTTGTGCTGTTGAGGACGTCCTCCGCTTGGTGATTGAATATTAGAGTATCCAAATAAGTTGTTGTGTCAATGCCTTCAGTTGTGGCAATAATTTCCAACACTAAAGTAGACGTTTCTGGACTCTCTGTCGTCACAACTGAATCTGTTGTCGTATCTGATGCTTCCCAGGATCCTGTAGTGCTGGTTACTGGCCATTCTGTTGTGGTTGAAGATTCCTCTGTTTTAGTTTCGCCTTCCTCCCAGGTTGTCTGTTCCCTGAAGGATACGGTAGTGGTGTCTATGATGGGAGATGTTTCCCAGTCACTGCTGCTTGTGGTTGTCGTCTCGGCTATGCTTGTAGTTGATTCCGACAGTTCTGTACTCGCGGTAGTTGATTCCGGAACTTCTGTACTGGTAGGACTAAGTTTTGTGGTATCTGCTGAGGATTCCATTTCTGTAGTTGTAGTTTGTTCATTTGTTTCCTCTGTGGTACCATCCACATTGAAGTAATTGCTTGTTGTTGTCGAAATATCCTCAGTAAACTGGCTCGTAGATAATTCTGGCTCAACTGTAGTCGGTTCAATGACTGCTTGAATCGTTGTTGTTTCCCATTCTTGGGTTAAATTTCGTTTTCCAGGCTTGTATGGCTCGTACTTCTTTACAACATATGGCTTGTGATTATTTATGTATTCCATGGCCATTTTCCTCCATTCATCTCTATCAAGAATGGCGTTCAAATTTCCACTTTTGATATTTGTCTGTATTGACACGGCATAATGTGCCATCAAAAGGAGAAAACACAACTTCTTCATGACGATGCTGACGGGCTAAGCGGTCACTTTTGACTAATTACTTTTGCAAATTGTTTGGAGATATAACCCTATGCTGTCTACCTGTTTCCGACCTTTTTCCCTCAAGCCAATCTACCTGTGTCTCTCCTTAAAAAGGTGCAAAAACAATAATTATGTGACATTCGATTCAAATATAAATATTCCCGCCAAGGTCACAGTTTTGTGCGACTGGCCACTCTTTCATTTGCGGTGGCAACGCTGCAAATGCCGGCTCCAGCTGATTCTTTGGGCGAAGAAGAAGAAGAAAAGCGTGCTTACAATCCGCGTTTTGCGAAAAACATTAATAAGATATATTAACGCCAAGTTTTAACTCTAATATAAAGAGAAAAACGTACTAAGCAGTGAGCTAAAACCTTGGTAAGTTATCTCCGGTGCAATAGAACTAGAGCAGTGGCGTACTCCTCGGTGGCGGAAAATCGGCAGACGCCGCTTGTGTGTACATTGAATGAAATTAAAATAATTTTCTATTAGCACTGTAATATTATGGATTCCGATTTATACGATGAGTTCGGCAACTACATTGGCCCCGATCTGGACAGTGACGAGGATGATGACCAGAGCATCTATGGGCAACCCGATGTGCAGGATGACCCAGAGGTAAGTACCTCAATGGCAATTAACTCGAAGCATCAGTGCGAGTAAAACGCTTGGGGTTCGGTACACAGGACGCCATGGACGAAGACGAAGCAGAGCCGCCAGAAGATGAGGACAAGGAGGTAACAGCGGTAGTGCTGCACGAGGATAAACGCTATTATCCCTCTGCCGTGGAGGTGTACGGTCCGGATGTGGAGACCATAGTGCAGGAGGAGGATGCTCAGCCGCTGGACAAGCCACTCATTGAGCCGATAAAGAAGCTCAAGTTTCAAATCAAAGAGCAGGAACAGCAGGACACCACCTATGACATGGAATTCATGGCTGACCTGATGGACACGCCGCCACTCATCCGAAACGTGGCACTCGTTGGACATCTCCATCACGGCAAGACAACATTTGTTGACTGCCTAATTCGGCAAACGCATCCCCAATTCGAGAACATGGAGGAGCGCTCCCTGCGATACACAGACACACTCTTCACCGAACAGGAACGCGGATGCAGCATTAAGGCCACTCCAGTCACCCTCGTTCTGCAGGATGTCAAGCAGAAGAGCTACTTGCTGAACATTTTCGACACGCCCGGTCATGTTAATTTCTCAGATGAGACCACCGCCGCCATGCGCATGAGCGACGGCGTTGTTCTGTTCATCGATGCAGCCGAAGGTGTCATGCTGAACACTGAACGCTTGCTCAAGCATGCCGTACAGGAGCGACAGTCCATTACCGTGTGCATCAACAAGGTGAGTCAGTGGTTGATGTCTCTCGAAAGTAAATTGCCAAAACTCATCATCCATTGCAGATCGATCGTCTCATACTGGAGCTGAAGCTGCCTCCTCAGGATGCTTACTTTAAGCTGAAGCACATTGTAGAGGAGGTCAATGGGCTACTGAGGTATGCATAGACTTAATTTTAGTCATTTCTTTTTATACCAATATCCAACTCTTTCAGCACATTTGGCAATGCAGAAGACAATCTGTTGGTGTCGCCCATTTTGGGCAATGTTTGCTTTGCCAGTTCGCTCTATGGCTTTTGCTTCACTCTGAAATCGTTTGCCAAACTCTACGCGGACACATATGAGGGTGTCAACTACATTGACTTTGCCAAACGTCTCTGGGGCGATATGTACTTTAACAGCAAAACGTAAGTGTACACTCAGCATTATCAAAAGTCTGTTTTTTTTATCACTGGCTCATTGGCAGGCGAAAGTTTTCCAAGAAGCAGCCACACAGCTCTGCGCAGCGAAGCTTCGTGGAGTTCATACTGGAGCCCATGTACAAGCTGATTGCCCAGGTTGTGGGCGATGTGGATAGCACTCTGTCGGACACTCTCGCCGAGCTGAATGTGCGCGTGTCCAAGGAGGAAATGAAGTCGAATATACGGCCATTGCTGCGACTCGTCTGTAATCGTTTCATGGGTGACTGCAGCGGTTTCGTGGACATGTGCGTGGAGCACATCAAGTCCCCACAGGAGAACGCCAAGCGGAAGGTGGACCACATATATACGGGTCCAAAGGAAGGCGACATCTATCGCGACATGATTACCTGCAATCAGTATGGAACACTGATGGTCCACAGCTCGAAGATGTACCCGAACGATGACTGCACCTTCTTCCAGGTGCTGGCTCGAATCGTTTCTGGCACGCTGCATGCCGGGCAGGAGGTACGCGTGTTGGGCGAAAACTACACGCTTCAGGATGAAGAGGATTCACGGATACTGCAAGTCGGTCGACTGTGGGTGTTTGAGGCTCGCTATAAAGTCGAGCTAAATCGCGTTCCATCGGGCAATTGGGTGCTCATTGAGGGCATCGATCAGTGTATCGTGAAGACCTCTACTATTGTGGACATCAATGTGCCCGAGGATCTATACATATTCCGACCACTCAAGTTCAACACGCAGAGCATTATAAAGATAGCTGTTGAGCCCGTGAACCCGTCGGAACTGCCGAAAATGCTGGACGGTCTGCGCAAGGTGAACAAATCCTATCCGCTGCTCTCGACTCGCGTCGAGGAGTCGGGTGAGCATGTTATCCTCGGCACAGGCGAGTTGTATTTGGACTGCGTTATGCACGATCTGCGCAAAATGTACTCGGAGATTGACATCAAGGTGGCCGATCCTGTGGTCGCCTTCTGTGAGACTGTCGTGGAGACCAGCTCGCTGAAGTGTTTCGCTGAGACGCCCAACAAAAAGAACAAGCTGACCATGATTTCAGAGCCCCTGGAGAAGGGCCTGGCCGAGGACATTGAGAACGGAACCGTTTGCATCAGTTGGAACAAGAAACGCATCGGAGAGTTCTTCCAAGTCAACTACGACTGGGATTTGTTGGCCGCACGTTCCATCTGGGCCTTTGGCCCCGATTCAACTGGACCCAACATTCTCGTGGACGACACCCTACCTTCGGAGGTGGACAAGAATCTGCTGACAGCCGTAAAGGACTCCATTGTGCAGGGCTTCCAGTGGGGAACGCGCGAAGGTCCGCTCTGCGAGGAGCCCATACGAAATGTCAAATTCAAAATACTTGACGGAGTCATCGCCAATGAGGCACTTCATCGCGGTGGCGGCCAAATTATTCCCACAGCTCGTCGTGTTGCCTACTCTGCGTTCCTCATGGCTACCCCTCGTCTGATGGAGCCGTACCTGTTCGTTGAGGTCCAGGCGCCCGCAGATTGTGTGTCTGCCGTGTACACTGTATTGGCCAGGCGCAGGTGAGTTGATGGAATTTTCGTTTGAGGATTTTTAACAGCAACTTTATACTCTTGTTCTTTCAGAGGCCATGTGACACAGGATGCACCCGTTTCCGGCTCGCCCATTTATACGATCAAAGCCTTTATACCCGCCATCGATTCTTTCGGATTTGAGACGGATCTGCGCACGCATACCCAGGGCCAGGCCTTCTGTTTGTCGGTATTCCATCACTGGCAAATTGTGCCCGGCGATCCGTTGGACAAGAGCATCATCATACGGCCGCTGGAACCGCAGCAGGCATCGCATTTGGCACGAGAATTTATGATCAAGACACGGCGCCGCAAGGGCCTCTCCGAGGATGTGTCCATTAACAAGTTCTTTGACGATCCCATGTTGCTGGAATTGGCCCGCCAGGATGTGCTTGTCAACTATCCGCTGTAGTAACACGAATGAGCAAATAAAAAACGTCTTAGACCTACTTTCTGGAAATATTTTATTGTTTTCTCGGTGGGATCCCAGGGGGCATTAGGTATTGTTTATGTAGGGCTTGTCACTGGGCTTGCTGCTGCACAACACTGGCCATATCTGTAGAATAAGTGTTGGGGAAGGGCTCAAATTGTTCATCCTAGTAGGCTTTTTGCGGCACAAAACACAGAACCGAGCACAGAGTAGCCGTCGACAAAATAAACATTTTCCAAACACCCAGACACAAAAATCAATTCATCAATTCAGCGTGTTCAGCCATTCTCCGCTCTAAAAAGTTTTAAAAAATTCATCAAATTTCAATAACTTTGACAAGCTGAAAAAAAAATATTTCCTACTCTAAACAGTTTCCTTTTACCCTGTATTATCTAGAATGAGTACCACGAAGAAACGCAAGATCTCACCGCGTACTGCAAACGTGTCTCCCAAGCGGAGTAAGTCTAAACCAAAATTGTATTAAGAAATAATGAAGATAAAATGTTATTGTCCGTTTACAGCACGCGCCTATTCGCGCAATATTCGTCGCAACCAGAGCCTGGGCCAGAAGAACAGCAACATCGAAGACCCTTCACAGAGTCAGGCGCTTAATTCAGAGTCTATTGATTTGATAGTCGGCAGCAACAACGACCCAGTGCCAGGTTCAGAAGAACCTCTGGGCAAAGGGATTTCATCGACAGCCTCTTGTCAACAGCTACCCGTTCAAGATGCATCAGTAGAGACGTTCAGCTCTACTGTTAGCCAATATCCCGAACTAAATTCCAGCCCCCAAATACCCAACTTCGTTATATTACATTGTCAAAAAGACATTGTTCTTTATCAACCTGTGGCCCGTGCTTCTACCGAAAACGGTCCGTTCGATCCGTCAATGTTTACTCAGCCCACATTGGGGGCGCTCGCTAAAGAATTTTGGGAGACGCTCAAAAATAATATTCAAACATACATACATAAAAAATAATTAATTTAATAGAAATGTCTGCCTGATAAGTCTATTATCTATTAATCTAATGGCTTGCGTTCGATTTGAGGGGGTGGTGAAAAATGGAAGTGGTGGAAGGGGTTGGCTTAATATTCCATTTTATTCAAAGGCTGACTAGATCCAGTACCAAAATGGATGGGAAAAAAGTCAAAACATTTGAAATTAAAATTAAAAGATATCCTGACCACAGAATGGTTTGATCCATCGCGATGCATGGAGGGAATTTGCTTCATTTTATGGAACATTTACAGAAATTTCTGAGATTTGTTTACCCTGTAAAATAAGCCAAGTGGTGACTGCAGTGTTGAGGGTAGCAGTTTAAATCCATCAATAAGATTTACTATATTTACTAGATATTTATTTGAAGCCTTTGTCTGGTGATGACTTGTCAAATAATTTACATAATAGTATACAGAAAACAGTTATGATGGTTGCTAGTAGTCCGTTCCTACTCGCCATTGCCGTTCTGCAGAACCTCCGACTCGTAGCCCTCATGCTCGCCCTGCTCCTCATCGAACTCAACCTCATCGTCGGCAGTTGCTTCCTAAAATGCGAAGATGTTGAATGAGTACTGGCATGGGGTTTGTTATATTGATAGAAGCGCACCTGGTACTGCTGATACTCGGATATCAGATCGTTCATATTGCTCTCCGCCTCAGTGAACTCCATTTCGTCCATGCCCTCGCCTGTGTACCAATGCAAGAAGGCCTTGCGACGGAACATGGCGGTGAACTGCTCAGAGATGCGCTTGAAGATCTCCTGAATGGCCGTCGAGTTGCCAATGAATGTGGCGGACATCTTGAGGCCACGTGGTGGAATATCGCAGACGGCCACCTTCACATTGTTGGGTATCCACTCGACAAAGTAGCTGCTGTTCTTGCTCTGCACGTTGAGCATTTGCGTGTCCACCTCCTTCATGGACATGGGACCTGTTAATTATTGAGCGGAAGAGCGTGAACAAAAAATGATTGTAATCGGCGAGGCGGGTCTGGTGAAAAAATCCCATCCGCATTTCCCCAAAGCAGTGGCAGTGTCTCCCTACCCCCCCACATTTACATCAAACGCCATGTTTTGCTTTGATGAGCGCCAAGGCAAATCCCCAAATCCCTGAATATGAAATACTAAACGGATTCTAAGCCCTAACAGCGTACTTTGCCACCTGGTCGGAGTCAGAGTTGGAGTCGGAGTCGTCTCTTAGGCGCAACAGACGCCACAGGGACAGGGATTGGAATCGGAAGCAGGGGCACCTTGACACAAACAGTCCCAGGAGGTAACTAAAAAAGTTGTTTCAATTCCAACGTTGGCATTTTTTGTTGTTGTTTCTGCTTCCAGAACACATTTTTGTGATTAATTATTTTGCAAGTATTTCTGGCAGTCAGTCGGAGTCTGAGCCTGAGTGGACGCAGTGGAATCGGGCACGAGGCGCCCGTGCAGGTCCCAAAGTCACGTTCAAGCATGATTAGTTAGGCTTTGGTCCCGCCCGTGTTCGGCGGTGGTCGTAATTCCCCAATGGATCTTGAAAGTAAATTTCTAATTACGCGCGTTTTTCGAGTCATCAGTCAAAAAGAAAGGCAGCGGAAGTGGCAGTGGCAGAGCCCAATCCCAAAGCCAAAGCCAAAGGACAGGCCTGAGAGCGAGAGTGGTACACAAGGAATAGCAAATGAAATATTATGCGGCATACTTTTGGGCGCCGCACAGCAGTTTATTAATTTAAAAATTAGCGCAAGCCAAAAAAAAAATTCCGCCACCCTTGCCGACACTCCTGCAGCAGGCAAACTTCGAGGGTGGGTAGGACGCGGAAGGCTAACAAATTTGCGCTACGTGCGCGTTGACGGATTGCAGCCTTTTTAGCCGCCAGAAACCCAGGTTGCATTAATCATTTTTAGTGGCGCCCATAAGTAGGCATTCTGTTTGCTAATAAAATTGTCGCTGTTGCCGTTTTCCTTTGCTTCTACGTGCCCTGCGGCAGCCTATGACCCGTCATAGGACAGGTGCGCCACCAGGTGGCCCTGACAAAGTGACAAAGTTTCACGGATAAGCCGCCCACACCCATCGCCCGTTTAGATGGATGGATCTGCGCGTTTGCGTGAAGGTGTTTCGGGTTTGTTGTTAAAAAACTATTTTTCTTTTGTAGATTCCCACCCTGTGGAGAAGTTCCGTCAACAGGCATTGCTGGTGGTGGCACTTACCACGGAAGATGCAGGCACACGTGAGGTAGCGTCCATGTCGGGGATCGCAGGCCGTCATCATGTTCTTGGCATCGAACATCTGCTGCGTCAGCTCGGCAACGGTGAGGGCTCGATACTGCTGCGATCCCTTGGCGGTCAGTGGGGCAAAGCCGGGCATGAAGAAGTGCAGACGCGGGAATGGAACCATATTCACCGCCAGCTTGCGCAGATCAGCGTTCAGCTGGCCAGGGAAACGCAGGCAGGTGGTAACGCCAGACATTGTGACCTGGTAGGAAGAGAAAAATGTCAGTTAGAACAATTATTTCGTTTGATGACGCGAAGTTGTAGTCCATGGCGAGGCTCCTGTGCTCCAATCTGGTGGCTCCGTGTCTTCATTTTGTGGCTGCTACTTACGGACACCAAGTGATTCAGATCCTCGTAGGTGGGCGAGCATAGGCGCAGGCTCTGGTAACAAATGTCATACAAGGCCTCATTGTCAATGCAGAATGTCTCGTCTGTGTCCACGCACAGTTGATGCACCGACAATGTGGCATTGTACGGCTCGACCACTACCTCTGACACCTGGTGTCGCCATTCATCGAAGGGGGATTGGGTGGGGAATTGGACAAACAAAAACACACGCATTAGACTGGTTTGTTCAACGAAATGCACTTACAGAAACCAAATGATTCAGATCCCCGTAGGTGGGCGACGAGAGCTTCAGCGTGCGGAAGCAGATGTCATAGAGAGCCTCGTTGTCAATGCAGAAGGTCTCGTCTGTGTTCTCCACCAGCTGATGGATGGAGAGCGTGGCATTGTAGGGCTCCACAACGGTATCGGATACCTGATTGTTTGTTGGTTAGGCGAACGAACGAACACATGCAGGAAAAGAAGGCAAAACGAAATAGATAATGTTAATTAGCAAAATGATTTTGGTTTTTCGATATTAAATGTTTAATAAATGGATACAAAGAGTTTCGAATCTGTGCTTAAATCTCAATCCGGAGTGGCAGGTTGATGATGCCCATGAATGATGAGCAAGCAGTCTCTGCTAAATGCCTTTGACAAGTGCCTTTGGGCCATGTATGCAGATACTCGTAGAGATGTTGTCAAAGATGAGCCACTCGGTCACTCGAATTGCCATTTTCTTTGGTTCGAATTTCGAATTTCTGGCAATTTGCTTGGGACATGCGACATGAAAAATGCATTCCCGCCCAAGAGGCTGCACTTCGAATGCACTTGCAAGTGCAACTGCCACAGCCCTATATACATATGTGTTAATGCTGTGATCCTGTGTCGGGCCTCGAGCGGCACTCAGGCACCGAGTTGTTGCATAAATGCAGTTGCATGTTGCACAAACATCGACAATCACATGCACATTTGTACATTTGTACATCCAAGTGTGTGCTGCAAATTGAAAATTATGTATAATCTTTGCTTTGCCCTCTATATTTGCTTGGGCCAGATGCATTGCTCTTGTGGGGGTACGTTGCGGCATGCGACAAACTTCAGTTCGAGTCTCAGTTTTGGGTATGCTGTATGCGAAATGTGTGTACACATAAAGTGGGGCAATTATTTAATGGTCCCAACCAGCCAGCCCTCGAGCGATAAGGTGGACAACAGACACACACACCTCAACAGTGTACACACAGACGCAGGGACACACGTACGTGTACAGTTAATACTAATGAGTCATGCTCGGGCATATGCATTCAAGATTTTGTTGCCAAATACTCGTTTCTGGCTGCAGGATTTACGAGTGCCTATGCAGCAGCAGAACTCCTTTGATTCGTGGCAAAATCAAAAAAAAAAACTCTACAATGAACAGTTTATTATTACCACCCGCTCCCGCTTCTGATATAATTTTGTTGGTTCTGCATTTGCATAAATTGTGTAAAGTGTGTGGCCTGCAAAACGACTGCAAAACTATTAAAATATATTCACTACACATATATTTATTCGCATGTTCTGTGCTGTGTCCATGCGGACATATTATGGCCGTTATGGAGTGACAGACAGTCATGTGTCGGTCTGGGCCGCAATAAAATTACCGCCGTAGCCAAAACATTGCGGTTAGCCCAGCGACCCATAAATAACGACATGCCAAAAGGGAAGGCAGCTCTTTGAAATTGGGGATACAAAGTTGGCAACTGGCAAAGGGTTAAGGCAGAGGACTGCTTGTCCTACCAATAGTTCGTTTTGTTCATTCAGCTGTGACGGTAATAAATTTAACACACAAATTCGAAATGTACAATAAGTTTTGTTCTTCAAAATCCATAAAATCTATTGTGTCAAATGTTAATTTCACGCCTCACAGGGCGCACCCCCTTCTGTCTCCTCTCAGGGGGCCTGTGAAAAATCTCAAACTAGAATGCAAACAGGATCCAACAGGTTGTTGTTCTCCGAATTTAGCCATAAAATAAAGCATTAAATTTGTCAAATTTGTCATTTGTCAGGAAATATAGTTTAATGTAGCTTTAATTTTAACAAGAAAGGAAAGCAGATTTTGATGATAAAACTTGTCAGTCGGTTGTCGGTTCCATCAATACTTTCGATTAGACTTTGCTTAATATCTCTCGATAACATGCCACAGCAAAGAGTTTTCCATCGTTAAGGCTGAACAAAATTATGATCATGTAATCATAAAGCTCTGAAATTTGAACGTCTAGCCCCTGCGGTGCATTTCTCTGCCACCTGCCAATTCATTTTGCACTGAATTAATTTAATTAAATGTCCAAAATGTAATTAAATGCGAATAATGCAAATGAAGGCTTACCACGTGCAACATCCGTGTGTCTACATTATATACAACAAATACATATGCATCTGGGTTAGTTAAGCACACAATTGAGGCGTGTCAAAAAAAGGCAAGCAACAAAAAAAAGATATCGTTGGGGAGTGCCCCCGAGTGGCCCCTGAGGCAGGGCACGGGCCCGAACCCTGGTCTGGATGGTCTCTTGGCACTAAATTGCATTAAAACTGCAGTGCCAATTAGGCTTTAGCCGCTGGCCCGATGGCACGATGGCCGCCGCGCTAATTTTCCCTGCAAATTAATTAGAATTATTTGGACAAAGCCGTGAACCCGGCCGAGGCAGTGCACAAAGCTCGCCAATTGAATTTGGCGTATGAATTGCATAAATAAAACAACATTTGTGGCATACTTTCGAACGTGGGTGTTACGGGCGGGTGCGTTGTGGCTTTCCCTTGCTAATTTGGCCAAAAACGCGTGCAGGTGTAAAGCGCTTGCGGGTCTGCGGGTCTGCGGGTTGGGTCGGCTTATAGACCCCACATCAATGACACCGTGGTCCCCCCACCAAAAAAAAAACTACGTGATTTGTAAGCTGATTTTGCTAAGCGGATTGCACTCGTCATGAGCATAATGAGGATGATGTGTGGCACGGGCCAGGGGTGGTCCAAACAGCTTACCTTCGGTGAGGGCACAACGGAGAAGGAGTTCATAATGCGATCCGGATACTCCTCGCGTATCTTGGAGATGAGCAGTGTGCCCAGGCCGGAGCCAGTGCCGCCGCCCAAAGAGTGCGCCAGCTGGAAGCCCTGCAGGCAATCACAGCCCTCGGATTCCTTGCGCAGCACCTCCAGCACAGAGTCGATCAGTTCGGCTCCCTCTGTGTAGTGGCCCTTGGCCCAGTTGTTGCCTGAAATGAGAGGAGACATTCACAATTACTTATCTAATCAATGAACAGAGACAGGGAAACAGGGCGGAGCACAGCTGGACATGTGGAAAATTAATTTTCATCGTCATCCGCAGGCCATTTCATAATTGCAATTATCATCAGTACAGCAACAGCAACAGGAGCAGGAGCAGAAGCAGGAGCAGGATGAGACAGCACACTGCCCGAGGCAATTGACCAACATCAACGAACAGGGAAAACAATCAAGCGGCCGGGCCTCAGCCATGCCATTCCATCCGCCCCGCAATGATAAGCCCTGTGCCTGTGATAACAAGGCCGCATGTTGGCCATGGCATCATGTCATCTGGCGGCTGCTAGTTCGTCCTCGTACTTATCAAAGCAATGACAAAAGCCGCACAATGTTCGCTGCTGTTTTCGTTGTCTCTGCCACACAACTGGTAAAAACAAAAGCAGCAGGCAGCAAGCGGCAGGACAAGGCACGACGCATTGGACATGCCACGCATTAACGAGCAGTGCAACGGAAATGCATTAGCTCTGATAAGGGTGGGTCAGAGGTCAGGGGTCACACCTTCGTTCTGTGTGCACACTTACCCGCTCCGGACTGTCCGTAGACAAAGTTGTCGGGACGAAAGAGCTGGCCCATCGGTGAGGAGCGCACCGAGTCCATGGTGCCCGGCTCCAGATCGATCAGCACGGCACGTGGCACATACTTGCCGCTGCTCGCCTCGTTGTAGTAGACATCGATGCGCTCCAGCTGCATGTTCGACTCCCCATGGTAGTAGCCATTGGGATCGATGCCATGCTCATCGGAGATGATTTCCCAGAACTGCAAATACAAATTTAAAAAATAAATACAAAATCTTAGAGACTTAAATACAGTTTGAAATAATATTTTAAGTGCTGCATAATAATGAAAACCAACTCTAATCCCCCATAGAAGGTACGAAGCGGAACGCTTGAAGTAAGCACATATTTGCATATTTATGTATGCGTGTGTGTGTCTGTGTGTCTGTGTGTGCATGTCTTTCACTCACGCGACGTATGCGTGTTTTTTTATGACAGCAAGCGGCGCCACCCCAATGAAAATTTCGTGCAAATTTCATTTCTTTTTTTCTGATCCTTCTCCTCTTTGGTTGTATTTTGGCACACAGAAATATTATTTTACAATCAATGGTTCTCTGCGTGTGTATGCGCCTGTGCTTGTATTGCATTGCTTTGGCAATCAATGCATATAAATACGAGTGTCCTTTTTACATGGCTCTTGGTTTTATTGCCAGCACCATCAGAGTGGAGTACCAGCCCCGTGTGTCCTTACTTCGCCTATCTGTTGTCGATTTATGCGCGTGCATATGCTGCATACGATATCATGCCCCACACTCAACACACACACACTCACAACAGCAAAGACTGATGGGTGCATCGAGGGAAAACCGAGAGGAGAGAGCACTTTACATGCCGTGAGCAATTTCTGTTGCATACTTTCAGGGGCACACTTCCTGTTTTTTTTTTCGTGCTGTTGTTGTTGTGTAACGAGCGGGAATAATTGAATCCTTTTAGGTGTTTTATATTGGAAGTTCTCCCTTTCGCCCACACATGCCGCTGCCCTCCTTCCTTCCTTCCATTCCAAATTTATTTACACAGGAATTTTTCTTGCCTGCCGCATGTTTATTTTTTTTTCAATTTGTTTTATTTTCTGTATTTCTGTACAGGTTCCTGCCCACTGCTTTGCTTTTTCTTTATTTTTCATTGCACAATACGCTTGGCAAAACATTTCACGTTTGCTGCGCATATGAATTTCAAATTTTTAAAAATGTTTCAATCGCTCTGCCTCGCTGTCTCTCCTCTCTCCTTTCCGCCCGCCAGTGGCCAGGTGAGCGAGTGTGCAGGTGCCGGCTTGCTGTGAAAGCATTGGGAGTGGGTGTGGCAGTGGCTGTGGCTGTGGGAGTGGGGGTGCATTGGCAAAAATGCTAATTGTGAGAAAATCGCAATGTGCGACCGGCCTGGCCTCTGCGCGAGTGCCCCCCATTGATCGAAATGATTTTTAATGGACTTAAAGGCAGCCACCAGTCGAGAGCCAGAGAGAGACGGAGTGGTAGCCCAGGGCTATGAATTTCATTTGTCCCTATTTTATACACCATCATTCTTTTTATTTTATTTTATTTTATTTTTCCTTTTGCATCTGCCGCAGGAGGACAGTCAGATTGATTACCAAATATGAATTTTGATGTAAAACACCTGAAGCACCTGAGGGTAATACAATTTTGTGCTCTGGCCTGCCAACACAAAATCAGCTGAAATTTTACGATTTCAGGCTCTGGATTCTGCATAGTTTATGCTGGGCAGAACAGTCCAACAACAAGAACAACAAACATTCCCTTATCAGGGGAAACTCGATTCGAGCAGCAATTATCACTGGCAAAGCGAATATTCTGTTCTACATCAGATGTCTTCCTATACTGTGACACAACTCAATCAACAATGATAAAAGGTAGAAAAGGGTGCCTTTTCATGCTGTACCAACATCATAATACCCCATTCAAGAGGTTATAAAGAATGTTTTCTGAACAGAAACATCTTAAATTATTCATTGGAATGTCAAGTTTTTGTCTGGCAATCCATCGAGCAGCACTTTGAGTCACATTCGTGAGTACTCATACATTCAGTTGTGCCATAAATAGTTAAGTCTCCTGCGCTAAAGCGCTGACACAAAGGAGAAATATAAATGGGGTACAGGTAGTTGTAAAAGTTCCCCCAACAAAAAAATGGGAATTTGATAACGCTTGATTGCACATAAATGCTTGTGCCCCCAAAGCATATGCACATTCTGCCACACGCACACACACACGTCCTTTTGCTGTTGCGGATGCTAATCCCAGAGCCGCATAAATGTTTATTCTGCTGCCGCTGCTGCTGCTTGAAAAGTTTGTGCTCCTCCATTGGCTCTTAGACACGCAACAATGATAACAAGTTGGCCCAAAACTAAAAGCAAGACAACAAGAAAAATCGCTGGCCAGGAAAACTTTTCGAGTGGCGGAAAGTTTGTTGGTCCTCGCATGGAAATATGACACTCAATTGTACGCTTCGGTGGACACTTTTCGTTTGACAATAACTTTGATTTGCATTGGGAGGCAACAATCCTTTTGCCTGTCACCCACCCGCATGTCCATCCCACCCCCAACTCCCTCAACTTGTTGCCGCTGGGAAAATTCAAATGTGTGTTCGATAAGCGTTTTCTTTCTGCTGAATTCTATTCTCTGGCATAATTTATTTATGAAAACTTTCCTTGAGCTCTTTTTGAGCTAGCAACCCGTCAACCCTGAAGCTGGCTTTTTGACACACCGAACGGGGGTGTTTGTGTGTGTGCTTTGAAGTGGGTTAAAGTGGGCCAGAGACAGGCCATCAGTTTTCTAACCACTCCGCCAAAAGAGATCCCCAAAAGTCAGACCTGGATGTACAGAAGAAGAAAAAAACAATTACCGCTGCCTTCATTTGCTTAAAAACTTTTTGCTGGTCTGCGGTCAAAATTGCTTAATTACAAAATTGCGTTCATGTGAAAAAGTCCGCGGCTAAAAAAAAGGAAGCGAGGAGAAAACCTGGCTAAAAATACACAGAGAAAAAAAAAGAAGAAAAAGTAACTGTGAGACTAAGGACGAAGGACGAAGAAATGATCAAATTAAAAGTAAACAAAGAGCTGCGTGCGTTGACCAAAGCGGCGCCGTTTTGTGGCTGTGGCGTTCCGCTTTTTGTGTGTGGCTGCGACTTGAAAGAAATCCAAAATTAAAATTCCCAAAGCGTGTGCAAAAAATAGAAGAACAAAAAAAAAACGGAAAAAAGAAAGCCCGAAACAAAAGTCAAGTGGGGGGCAAGACTTGCATAAATTAATTGCGGCAAGCTTCTAGTTCCTCCGGCAACAAAAGGACAATCTAGCGGAGACGCGAGATGCGAGGTCGCACGACGCACGGCGCCGGAAGTGCATTTCGCACCGGAAGTGCGCACTGGGAGCACATGGCGGCGGATTGGCAGCGTAGCTTGGAAGCTGAGCTGCGTTTGCATACGAAATGTTTTGATGTTCCACCGCCTCGCGGCTCACATAAATAATAAACGTTTGCAGCAATAAATATTAAATGATGGCCAAGTTTGTCTTCAGGCAAACTCGGAGATTTCCTTGGAGATTTTCCACAAAGTGAATTTCACCATTAAGACCATTCCTTTATTTTCTGTACATTATTATTGGATATTCCGCTAGACTGAATTATTAGATTGAGTCTCCCACTAATAGAGCACTAAATAAAAAATTAAAAGTAATAATTTAGAGCCTGACATCCCAGAAAAAGTATTAAAATTCAATTAAAATATATAATTAAACAGCCATAAGTTTCGATAAGTAAAAAAATATTCATTTCTAATTAACATTCAGCGCATTCTCGGCCAACGCATGGCCGCGTAAAAATCATTAAAAATACAAACCGCATATGGGTTTGCAATTACTGGGCCTTAATGCAACCTACACACACACACACACACCAACACCCACACCACACCACACATGTGTCCTGTTCTCGGCTAGCTTCTTGACCCAGCCCACGGATAGAGAGCGTAAAACTAGAATTCCAATTCAATTTTCGGGCCACGGGCATTAAACTAATTATAAAATAATAAACACGATTCCCGTGCGCATTTCGATCATTTGCCAATTTACAAAATGTGCGACAAATCCGCGCCGATTTGCGCCAAACCAAAAACGCTTAAAATGCGAAAGCGCGAAACAAGTTAATTTATTTTAATTTTTGCACCATTCCACCAAAAATCTATTTGAATGTGAGAGAAAGCGAGTGTGTGTCCTGGTGTCGAGGATTGGCGGGAATTGCATTTTGGTTATCCATTAGAGTAATGAGCTTTGGCCGCGGATTGGGTTGGGGGGAGGCAATGGAAACTGCCAGAACCCTTGTCAGCGCCATAAAAAAGCGAATGAAAATGTCCAAAATAACACACTCAACGCTGGGAAACTTAACGGCCGCACATCGATGGATGACACTTGGCAGTCGACGGGCCATAAACCATTTTGAGAGCAACAAAAAGAAACAAAACTGAAAAAAAAAACGTAATGCCCTCCCAATCCCTTCAAGCTCCATCTGCGTGCGCGCTCCATCCGTCTCCATTGAACTGCTCAAAAATGCAATTTATGTGAGCGCCAGGCGAAAAATAACGAATTGTACCCCAAACTACGTTTAATGGTAGGGGAAATCCCCCACGCTTGCAGATCGGGTTGAGGGTGAGGCGCGCCTGCTGTAAGCATATTTTTTGTAATAACACTAAAAGGATCTTATCGACAGCTCGACAGTTATAACCCGCCCGGCCATGTTGTCTTTATTGGTCAGCTTCGTTTAGGGCCATAAAACTGTGCGAATGCCATAGCTGTAGCCTGCTTTTAGGGGCTCAAGGATATAGCATACTTTTTTGTGGTATGATGGGGAGTACAGAGAACATAATTAGACTCTCACGTAGGCCTTGCCCAGCGCAATGAAGCAATCGGCAATGCAGCCTGCAATTTATGGCTCTATCCGTGCAAAAGTTTCGCGAATCGTGCGGCACGTATGGGAGTTCGGTACACGCCAGAAAAATTCACATTTTTTTGCTGTCTCCCTGTCTGTGTGTGTGTGTGTGTGCGTCGTGGTGTTTGTGTAAATTACCCTTTGTATCTGGCATGCTGCAGCTGCAGCTGCAACTGCATTTGCAATTGCATTTATCGTCAAGTGCATCAATTTAAATGTGGCCACTAATTGTCATTATCAGTGCGTGGCGGGCGCCTCGTTTCTCTTACGGTCA